TACAATGAAAAGCCAACAGTGGAACAAAATAAATAATTAAACAATTCCAGTCAATGCACCATGCAAGGCATGCAAGACTATGGATGGAGGATTGAAGGTTATAGATCCAATACCCACAGGTGGTCTCTAACTCAAATGTGGTCAGTTTGTGAATCAAAACAACTGTGTTCTTTTTGTCTGCACATACAACAGGTCAGAAAAGGAAATTTTTAGTGCTGCAGATGTTTTGTTTCACTGCCCAATTTTTAAACTTGGTTTCCATTCATCAATAGCCTTCAATGCTGAATCTATTGCAGCTAAACCCACCAGATCTCAAGTGTTTTAAACAACTTCCACATGCCCTGAACATTACACGGGCAGCAACGATGAATCATATATGCAATGATTCATTTTTGAAGAGATAAGCACCAGTAGGGACAAAATGTGACTTTGTGAGACAGAATTTTAAAAAAAAAGTGATGTGAGTCAGCATCTTGTTTAATTTCCCAGCGTTGAAATCGATGAAAATTAAAACTGCGAGGAAAGTAAAACAAGCTGTTGACTCATTATTTCCCATTTAACATTATTGCACAATCAAGGTCACATCTCCCTCCCAGCATGGAAAAATGGTGTAAAAGCTACACGCTTCTCTGCACAGAATTGAGTCAACATTCCCAAGATCAATTAATAAGCACTGTGGCAGTTACTTCCTCAAAGATTCTTGGGATTATTCTATCTTTGCTTCTGAAATGAGGCTGTGACTCTGTAAACATCATTCCAATATCAGTGTATAGAGTTACAGTGCACAATGGCTCCTCCAGTATAAAGTATTACCTATAGGAAGTTACTACAGTGTGCATAAAGGGCCCGTGTACATTAAGTGACTCTATAGAAATCACTTGCCAGTAAAGGCTTCATTTATAATGAGTGTCAAGTTAGTGGTGAATCACATTGTGAAAGAATCTAGCTGGAGCAAGCATACAGCATCAATTGACCATGATCTAGACTGTATTAAGAATTAACTGACAAGGGTTTCCTCTTGTGCAAAGACATTAAACTTAATTCCCTTCATGACATGAGTGTTCATACCTGGATGCAGCACTACAAGAGGCAAGTATTCCCTTGTTTGGGGATCAGACTGTTCTCAAATATGTACGCACACACCTCTACCATGAATTGTGTTTATAAAGAGGTTTCCTTAACCCACACCTGGAAGAGCTTCACGTTCACTTGCACATGCAACTAAGAGGCTACCAGTTGCATCTGGTTCCTATTGCATCTTGGGCTCGATCAGAGGCAGCCATGCCAGTGCTGAATGTCTAGAGGAAAAAGCAACACTAAGCAGCACTGAAGTGAGAAACAGGCTGGCATCTACTAGAATCAAGTCACTGTGAATCCAGAGATTCCCAACTCCTATCTCCAGGCTCTTTCAATTCCCCCGCATTATTGCCAAGACATGCCACCTTCCTGCCCGAACATGCCAACAGTGTTCCTGCAGTCTGCAATCTTTCTATCTGACACCCTCCGACAGCATTCTGAGGTGTATGGGCCTGCGGCAGCATTTCCACTTTGGAACGTTACTACTGAGCCCTGTGATCTTAATAGCCTATTATCCACCAAACCTTGGTCACAGATCTGAGCCCCCCACCCCACAAATCTTCCGCTAGGCTTCCACAAATCAACCTGATCCCAGATCTGGTGACTGGGGCACTAAACTGTGCAGGTTTCTACTGTAAAGTCATTATGATGAAGCATGAGGCCCAAAACACAGGCCTTGTCAGACCTCCCCAGCTGTTAACACTGTGTCTGTGAGGAACCCAACAATGTGCCTGGCTGAACTCCTCAGCCTTTGTGTTGGAGTATTTGATTAAAATGCGGTTTTCAATCATGTGAAGAAAAGAGGCTTTAAATAGTAATCATTGCATAAAGCAGTTTTGTATAAAGTTAGAGGAAATATTAGCATCGTGGTAATGTCACTGGTCTAGTAAGTTAAAGCTATGAACTAAGGCCTTGGGGGTTATGGGTACAAATTTCACAGCTGGTAAAATTTCAATTCAGTTGATGCATATGAAATTATAAAGCTAACCTCAACAATGGTGACCGTGGCAACTATCATAGTAGCTCATTTCAGTTTTGAAAAAAGATCTGTAAAAACCCATCTCATTCAACTGATGCCCTTCAAAGAAGTGAAACCTGACATTGTCTAGTCTCTAGGTGACTCCAGGCCCACAGCGAACTGTAACTGCCTCTGCAAAATCCTGAAAAGCCACTCAAATCAAGGACAATTAGGAACGGACGACAAATATCAGCTTTGGTGGCGCTTGGACAAAATTATATGTAGAGTGCGAATGTCCAAGACATAAAAGGACTAATCAACAACTTTGTAACGGACTCAAGGAAAACACTAGGTGTGGCCAACCCACACCAGCCAGACCAGGCAACATCTTCATAGTCATCAACATTTACTTTATTTTGGTGCTGCAATCTTTCAGTGCGAACTGCACAGCTAGTAACAGTTTCATTCATATCGTTGGGGCTTTGGTCGGGGAGGAGGCAAATTGGAACTAAATAATCAAAGTAATAGTTTACCTCAAGCCTTTTCTTTGCAATACATTATTTTTTTTAAAAAAAGTCAGTTTTGGATTTCTTCAGAATACTTGAACTACTGTTTCTAAATCCAAAGACACAGCAGCAACCTTTATCTAATTGGTGGTGATGAGGACTTTTTCTCGTCGATTGGTCTCAGACTATAGATACACTATTGTTGGCCCATCATTCCCCTTTCACCTGACCTTAACTTGCATCTATTCTGTGAAACCAATCACAACCGTGGGCAGACTGCAAGCAGTCCCCAAGTTACGAACATCCGACTTATAAACGCTCTTACGTACAACCGAGATCATATATTAACATTAATCTTAAAGATCCAACATCTGTTCGTACCTACTTTTACATTATGTTACGACTTGCATACAAATGAACTTATGAATGTACTTAGGAATGGAAACTGTTTGTAATCCAGTGACTGCATGTATTCTCAACTGATTGGCTAGAGAGGCTGGGTCACTATCAAGGTGCTACATTTGGGATCTCCCAGTCTTATAGCCCACATCACTATGTTTACTAGAAAGTTACCCTGAGCACAGTGGACGAAAAAGCACTATTATAAGGATAAGTGAGTGAGCAGCCAAATCAAAAGCAACCAGTCAGTGTCGATGTAGTCAGAAATAATCACATCAAAACCCAGAACAAATTTAACTAATAAGAAAACAAAGTTGTTCAAAAATTATTCATTTTTTGACAATTTCAGTTTTTTTCATAATTTTTACACAAATCTCTTCTAACCAGAAAGAAAGAAAAGCACACAAATATGATGAAATTATCCATGCAGACTTCCTCTGACAAAAAGGCCTAATACTTTGGACAAAACCAACAATCCTATGAACTCATCAGCAGGAACTTGGTTACATGGACTGGCTACAACATGGTGGATGCCTGTCAAAAAAACCTCTACTCTTATAGGACCAGCTTTTATTTTTCCACTGAAAAGAAAAGCATTAGACACAGCTAGGGGGTACACAAGTCACTAGCAGCAGGAAATATAAGAGCACTTTTGAATATCGAGCTACTTCTTTGATTACCATCCATTTGGTTATCCCAGAGATTCTGCATTCAAACTATATTCCCTCTCACTTCCACTCCAACTATTAATGCCCAGGTCCTTAAGATCTCATTGCCACAGTAAGCCACCTCTGGGTTAAAAATATCCTCCTCAAGATATGTTATTGTTGCTAGAAGCAAGGGCTTGATTTTCATAACTGTGCTGCTGGGTCCCTGCTGCCTCAAGTATGGTAAGCATAGAATGTATTCTGGTCAAATATTTACAGTATGTGATGCACTCAACAACTTTATGTTATGTGTTGTTTAAACTGTAGAGAACGCAGCCCCGTTCAACCAGGCAACTCTATGTTATATAGAAAGTGACTGTGTTATGTCTATAAACATTTCAAAGTAGATATGTTTCCAAATTTGTTGCAACATTACTCCCAGAAAGTCGTAAGACTACTCTCTTATCGTCTGTGGACAATGTGTCACTATAACATCGCCTGTGATGCACAAAATGTGGTACAGTCCTAACAACCCCAACAACCTTGTCACCTTCCCCCAACACCCCTAAAGCAATCTTGCGATCATTGCAAATAAAAGGTGCCATGATACAAATCAGCCGTCATCACACCCAACAGCACAACAGTTTGAGGGGTTGAATGGCCTTCTCCTGTTCACATGCTTAAGATCCGTTATTATTGCATCTTCCGGAAGCAATATTTTAAGACTCTGAATGGCGCTTCCTTTCAGTTGCGTGTGAGTGTGAGTTTAAATGATGTGACAGCATTTACAAGGTTGACCTTGGCATTGGTTTTGTTAAACCCGCCAGAACTGAACAAGTATTCTGAAGAATCTTTACCCGGATCACTGCTTCCCCACAAACGCTTCAATTCTTTCCAAATCATGACAACACAAGCAAGATTCCCGATATGTTATTTACACGTAAAAACCGGTTTCCAAAATTTACAGGACATGTAATCAAATTAGAGGGCGAATTCGCAACAGGCATTTTTTTTTTGTTTTTAAACTGCCAGTCGTGCTGTACCTAAGCACTGTTGTCCAGTTCCTTCTGTGAAACATTGTGTTTTTGTTTTTCTGGATGGATTAGCTCTCAGCAGCAAGGACTGGACATAATAATTGCTTTGGACGACACACTGCAGGCTTTTTCACTGAAGAAGGGCAGTTCTCACCACAGTATCTGATCTGCTTATAACGGACTCTTCAATGAGACAAACCTTTATCCAATTCCATTCAAATAACTCAACAGCATCCAAATATCTCCCTCCCACCCTCCCCTTTCGTAGTTTAATAAAAACCCTTCCGTAAGGCAAGAAAGCTCAGGGGTGCTTGATGAAGATACAGGACAGTCCTCTACAAAATGCCTTCTGTTCTTTTTATTTTGTTCGTAGGACGCACGCTGCCCTCTTCAATGGGACCATCTCCAGTTCTTTGCCCCCCCCTTTAAAGAGTGGAATATTGTTGGCTAGTATTGCATTGAGTTCGAAGAGATTCGAGGGGTGTGTGTCTCTTTGGGGGTAGCCACAGATCTCCTTTTCGCTTTAGAACCCCTTGATGTAGCAGTAAGCCTCCAACGAAGAAAACAGAATGTACAGTAACCACAAACCCCCGAACAACATGGCAGTGATGACACGGGGTCCCCACGGACCGCCCAGCTCTCCCCCGATGTGCGGCCGCCTCCTGTACAGCAGGATGCTGATGCTAATGAAAGCAAAGATGGTGAAGAGGGTGACAGAAAAGGCCAGGGTGCCCGCATCCACACGGAATTCCTTGCCCTGGGACGCCCAGTAGATGGCAGCCACGGACCATGCCAATCCTATGCCCAGGAAGACATTGACTGCGTTGCTGCCTGTGACATTTCCAATGGAGGCATCGGCGTAGTGATCCTGGGCGGCCGCTACTTTGCTGGCAAAGGTGTCTGCAAAGGTAAGACGAGAGGTGCATCAGGCCAGAGCACAGACACAAGTCAAAAGCTTCGATTTCAGTCCCTGGAATAACTTCCTCAAAATAAAAAAAAAGCAACTGGCGACCGAGTTACTAAACGTCGTTCCCTGTTCACTCACTCCCCTCGACTAAGTGGATTATCGTGCGCTGCTCTACCACTGCACAGGCACCATGCAGCTTCCAACCACCGCGCGTAAACCTCCACTTGCTCCTGTGTCGGCCCAAAGCTGTCCAGCTTAGGGAACTGCGCAGGGCAATGTTTGCCGAGTTAACCCGCCTCACATGTCACACCTTACAGTCTGTGGGGCGGCAATGAGGAGTGGAAATCCCGGTTGACTTGTAAGACCGTCAGAAAATAGCAACGTGGGCAGGTACTGAACCCGCTCCCCCACCTCATAAAATACGAATGTGGCCTTCACAGCAATTTGCTCCTGCCCTCCTCAATCACCCTCAGCTCCCCTGCCGATCAAAACTGTGTCCACCTCTGCCTTAACACATTCAATGGTCCAGCCTCCTTTGCCCTATGGGGAAGAGAATTCCAAACTCTAACTACCCTTTGAGGAAAGAAATTCCTCTTTCTGATTGTGAAGACTCGTTATCTTTAAACTGTGCCCCATAATTCTACAATTAGAGGAAATATCTTGTCAGCATCTACCTAGTTAAGACACTTCATGATCATATTCATTTCATTAAGGTCACGTTTTGTGCTTCTATCCAACCTGTTCCTGCTCTTCTGGTAAGTCAACTCCTTTAGCCCAGGAATCAACCCAGTGAACAATGTTCCCTTTACGCTATGCGGCTACCAGGCCACTGAGAGGGTCTGTCTATGCCAAGCAGCCAGCATACAACATTTCCAGTATTGACTTAGAGTTTCAGAAAGCAATGGCACACATGGACCTCAGAGATGTGCACAGACAAAAAAAAAAGAGGGAACACAGCTAGTGAACTTGCTCTGAATTGCTTCCAATATAATTTGTCCCTCTCTTTATTTGTGCAACAGAATCATACAGATATTGCAAGTCTATCACCAATTTCCTGTAACTGCTGTAGTAAGACTTCCCTAAATTTATTCTTCCTCTCCTTCTTCTATATCCTTTACCCACACTCATGCCCTGTCATGACTTGGATTATTTTCACCCACTAATGGTCCCAATTATCAGCTTTTCTTTCTTCCTGGCATACTATCTTCTATCCCTTTGTCTGCCTCATGTAATTCTCTCTGTCTGGGCTCCACCTCTGCCTATCCGTTCACTCCTTCCACCTTTCCTGACCCGTGTTCAGCTATATATGACCTATTCCCAGCGACTATCTGCTTTGGAAAAGAATCATACTGAACACGAAATGCTAACTCTGCTTTCTCTCCACAAATGCTGCCAGATCTGTTGGGTTTCTCCAGCAATTTCTGTTTTTGTTAAGTGTAGGGACCTTCCTGCTCAGCTACGCAATTGTCACTGTGTTCCCCAACTTGTCGAACTTATTTGGCTAAGGATACAGACTGAAAACTTTCCCTGTGACAGGATGCTGTGGCTACCATTCAGCGGTGCTGAAATCTGAGAAGCTCCCATTTCGTTTGCCTGGTCAACTAGGTAACATTGCAGGCCTGTGGCTAACACCACTGTCTGGAGCTCTCACATAAAAGCATTATTTTATCACCATGCACAAATGTTTCTGGGAAGTCAGCATTTCGACGAGCTACAAACCCAGACCAGTAGCAATTCCGTCAGCATTTCTCTGACTTCATGAGCTCGTTGGAAGTTGGTGAACTGGTAACTGGATGGTCATAATTGTTTTAAACTAAAATTCTTAGGTTACAAGTATTGTGGGGGAGATAAACATTTTATAGACAGGTTGCACTCAAGAAGGGGATAGTGGGACTTGACTGTGCCCATTGTGATCCTTCAGCCCGAACCTTTCAGTGGTTTCCCTGTCTTGAGGTGGAGAGGGAAGGAGCGAGGGGGAGTGGGGGAGATCTGATGCAACATTTTGAGGTTCACTTTCAGGGTCTGAAGTGCCTTTCACAACGAAACCACAGAAAATGGCAAGGCTGGGAGTGTTGTATTATTTCAATGTCATTTATATTTGGTAGTTGTTTACAATTCCATTGCATGGCAAACTCTGCTCCTCCTTCCTCCCCCTTGAGCTTGGAAAATAGGCAAAACCGCAGCAGGAACTCAAAGGGAAATCAGCCCCATTAACTGCCCATTGACCTGATGTGGAATCTTGTTGAGTACAAAATGGGTGCAGTCATTGTCATGTTTTATTCTTTCAAGGGATTTGGGCATCACTGTTAAGGCCTGGATTTGTTGCACTTCCCTGAATAGCCTTGAACTGAATGTCTTCCTCAGCCACTTCAGACAGCGGTTATGAATGAAGCACATAGCCGTGGGTCTGGAGTCACGTGTAGACCAGACAAGGTATGCTTTCATTCCCCCACAAGACATGAGTGAAGCTGATGAGTTTTTCAATACTTGTGTATACTCAACGAATGGCAAGTCACTAGGAAGTTCCAACGAACACAGGGATCTTGTCCACGGATCCCTGAAAGCCGCTGGATGGGTTAATAGGGCAGTTAAGAAGGCACACGGCACACATACCTCTATCAGTTGTGGCATAAGAGCAGGGAGGTAATGTTGGAGCTGTACAGAATGTTGGTTAAGAGTACTGTGTGCAGTTGTGGTCACCACACCACAGGAAGGATGTGACTGCTTTGGTCAAGGTGCAGTGGAGATTCACCAGGAGGTTGCCTGGGATGGAGCATTTTAGTAATGAAGGGAGGCAAATATGCTCAAGTTGTTTTCTTTAGAACAGAGGAGGTTGAGTGCGGACCGGATAGAGACATATAAGATTATGAGTGGCACGGACAGGTGAATAGTAGGCAGCTGATGCCCCTTGAAGGCTTGATAACAAGGGGGCATAATTTTAAAGTGAAAGGCAGGACATTTAAAAGGAATTTATGGAAAAGCTTTTTGACCCAGCGAGTTGTGGGGGCTGGAATGCATTGCCTGGGAGGGTAGCTGGGGTGGCAAACCGTACAAACTTTTAAAAAAGTGATTGGATGAGCTCTGGAAGTATCATAATATTCAAGGTTGCGGGCCTAGTGTGGGAAAGTGGGACTAGTTGCAGGTCGGAGTGTGTGTTTGGTGGTACAGACTCAATGGGCTGAAGGGCGTCTTCTGCATTGCATGATTCTATGATGAGAGTTTCATGGTCACTATTACAGAAGTTAGCTTTAGAAATGAGATTTAATTGAATTTAAATTCCACTAGCCACTACGACGGGATTTGAGCTCAAAGCATTCACCTGGCTTGCTAGATCGCTAATTCAGTGACATTACTGAAGGTCAAAGCTCACTAGCTGTAGCTAAAACATAGAGTCATAGAGTCATACAGCACAAAAACAGACCCTTCGGTCCAACTAGTCCATGCCGAACATAATCTTAAACTAAACTAGTCCCACCTACCTGCTCCTGGCCCATATCCCTCCAAACCTTTCCTATTCATGTAGTTATCCAAATATCTTTTAAACAGACATCTGCAGAAATTTCTGAGATGTGTAACTAGTCAAGAGATAAATGCTTCTCTTTCACACGAATTGAAGATATTTAAGTTAGTAGGAAAATTCTCAAACAATTTTAAAATTGGTTTTTTTGGTCCTTATGTTTATTTACCTGGTACTGAGGTGCCAAGAGCTACAAATACCACAGCTGTAACTGAGTCCTTCAGGCCAATGGTGCAACCAAAGTGAGAGGCCAGGTCACCAATGATGGCTGTTAGGAGGCCAATGATGAGAATGGACGTGACAAAGCAGGCCCACCCATTCCAGTATTCAGTCGGAGGCACGCAGGCAAACAGGACCTTCCAAAAGACGGTCAGAAAATGCATCACATAGTCAAAACACGAGGGCAGCCGTTCCTCTCCTGTGTCTTCATCCTCTTCATCACCTGGCAGACATATCAGAGGCAGATCACGTTAAATCAGCAGGCAATCGTAGGGTCTCACAAGAGAGGACGGCTTTTACAATGTCAACAGTAAAGTATAGTGGGGTCAACGCAACAACAAAAACAAAGTTGCTGGAGAAGCTCAGCAGGTCTGGCAGCATCTGTGAAGGGAAAAACAGAGTTAACATTTCGGGTTCAGTGACCCTTCCTCAGAAGTGGGTCTGGGATCATTGGCTTAGGCAGATCCTTCCTGGCACTTAAACACTTACTGATACTGACCTTATTGTGGCAATGAAGCCTATATTGAATGGAACTACAGCCACCATTTTCTTGCAAAACTGAACTGAAGGACTGGGTTGGAGTGATACAGATGGTCAGAAAAGTATAACAGTTGTTTCGTTGAGAACCTTATCGCATGATAAAAAAAAATACAAACCCATGTAAGAAACAAATCCCGGACAGTTAATATTCTGATGAATGGATGGAAAATCATGATCTCCTCATGCTCAGTCCCTGAGCTAACAGGTTCAGCATTGCAAGTGTAGGCCTGAAAGTTTCACATCAGTTTTTCAGAACTTTTAAAGCTTTAAACCAGAAGAAGCCACTCAAATGTTGGAGTGCCCAGTCTACAGTTAGTTGCTCAAAGGTAACTTCCCTGTAACTTTTTTCTGGTCAGCTGTACATTTCCCGTAATTATGGCAGAAAGTCTATTTACAGAGTCAGGGAGTGAGAAATATTGTCAATATTTTTAGAGGGCAGTTCTGAAAGTTTGAAAAGGATTGGGCTTCTTGTAAAATCAGAAGAACATTTTGCTCCCTGTGGCTCAGATTTTGCACAGCTAATGTGGGTCTGGAAAAAGCTCATTGCCATTACTGCACTGAAACTGACAGCACATTTGTGAGTTCTGCATATGCACAGAAATAACACCGAAATCCAGAATTTAATAAGAACAATTCCGTCCTTCTACGGAGGGTGAACCTCGCAGATTGCGATCACGGGCAATCTTTGAAATGATAAGATTTTTATCACAGTGGAAAAATTCCAGTCTCCAGATCAGCTAATAGTGGATGGAGCACCAGAATGATGTATCAGGACCCTATGCAATTTCCGACATGCAGACCACCGTGGGAATTTCCCTGAAGTTGATACCCAGAAAATAACTCCAGGCAGAATCTCGTCAAAGGCCTCATCAGCTAACTGGAGAGCCAGCAATGGACCCACGCTGATTCTTCTAAGGAAAGCCCCAGCTTGCTGGTGGAAGAGCACTCTGGGAGGTTTTGGGCCACAGAGTACCTAGGACAAAGGGTAAATGATGTGCGGGTTATTATTGGATTGGAGGTCATAGATTGAGCAGCAAAGGGTAGGCAAGCGTAGGAGGCATGGCTCCTAACAGTTAATCACCTGCAAGATTTTGTCCAGTCTCTCGACCAGGTACTGAGTGCCTCTGGTATACGGTCAACACTGCCCCTCCCAACTGAGGCAACTAGTCTAGCCCACCCCTAGTCACAGCTTGTAGCTGGGTGAGTCCCCGCTAGGGTGGGGCAGTGGTCCTTAATTGATTATTCAATGGCATCGATTGGCTGGGGGGGGGCAGGAGGGTCAACTATGGGTCTTTCTGCCCATAATTTAGTTGTGGTTGAGGTGAGAAGGTAAGGTTGGGATTTGGCTGCACCACCATCCCAACTGAGAGAGTGTCCACCCTGTCTCCAAGTCATCACCTGTGGAGCCAAAGATCTTACTCCCAGCTAGATTCTTGGAAAATTACAAGACTGAAAGATTGAAAAGCACTGGGCTTCCCGTAGAATCAGATTTAACATTTTGCTCCCTATGGCCCAGACTTTGCAGAGGTAATGTTTGAGAAAAAGCTCATTGTCATTACTGCACTGAAACTGGCGGCACGTTTGTGAGTTCTATATATGCACAGAATAACGCCGAAATCTAATCACTGACAGTAACCACACCACCACCACATACAGACACAGACACACGTGTATACACACACACACACACACACACACACAAACACTCTCATTCACTAACTCTCCTATCTTGACGCCTACCAACAACCACTCCTTTTGGCCACCAATTACAGCCAGCTAGTCCCTTATCCACACCACCTCCCACCTATTTGCCACCCGTCTCAACCTACCCAGCTCCTAACCACCCTGATCACGTGGCTGCTCCCCCAACGCGCTCTGATTACTCCAACTGACTTGGGGAAACCACCCAGCAACCACTCAACCACCCTCTGAATAGCCCTGACAACCAACTAACCCTCCACCCACTCATCACATCACTCACCTGCCTCCCTCCACAACTCCCTCACCTACCTTCCTACACCATCACTCTATCCATTCACTTATAGAAACATAAGAAATAGGAGCGGGGGTAGGTCATTCATTCTTTTGAGCCCGCACTGCCATTTAACATGATCATGGCTGATCTTATTCTGGTCTCATGTCCACTCTCTTGCCTGCTCCCCATAGCCCTCTATCCCACTTTTCATCAGAAACTTAACTATTTCTTTCTTGAATCTGTTGATTGATTCTACCTCCACTGCACTCTGAGGCAGTGAGTTGCACAGATTTACAGAGAGAAGTAGTTTCTCCTCATCTCAGTTTTGAACCTACCTCCTCTCATTCTATATCTATGACGTTTTGTTCTAGACTGTCCCATTTATTCATCTCAACTACCGACTACCAGTGTTACTACCAGTTTTAAGAGTGTGCCTTAAAATCTACAATACAGGATTTGGTACAATGTGAATATTCCAACTCCTCGAATGCAACTCCAATCGGTTGGAGTTCTGAGAGACACTGTGCTCCGCATTTCTTGTGCAGCTGGGCTCAGAAGATCAGAGAAGAAGAGTCAACTTTAACGGAAGTCTGAGTGGAATAGCAACCCGACGATGATAGCCGCCCCACAGAAGATCTGGGCCACCTCTCTGTAAAAACTGCTGAGAAAGTGACAGCTTTTTGAATGAGATGTTAACAGCATTTAACATCAGAATTATTCTTACACACCCTGAAAAGTCAATTTTACCTTTATGGAATGTCAACTTTTCTCAGTATGTTAATAAAAACAATGTATGATATAAAGAATTTTTTTTAAAGTTTGTTATATTAATTGTGCTGGCCGTTTCAATCCAATTAAACCATGAAGTAATTTGATAAAAAATTAAAAGCATTAAGTGCTTTTAACATCCTGGTTTGCCATCTGTGAGATTACTTCGATGTGATTGTCTGCTTACTGACATGATCGCTATGAGAAACAGGAGTGGGCCATTCAGCCCCTTGAGCCTGTTCTGCCATTCAATGAGTTCATGGCTGATCTGTGGCCTAATGCCAGAAGCCTGCCTTTGGCCAATATTACTTAATATCTTCGCTTAACAAAAATTTATCTCAGATTTAAAATTAACAACTCATCCAGCATCCACTGCCGTTTGTGGAAGGCAGTGCCTAACATCTAGCACCCTTTGTCCTTCCCAACATCTCTCCTGAACATTCTGGCCCTAATTTACAGACTGTGCTGTCCAGTTCTACTGCACGCCTGAAGCATCCCTTGATGTGGTGCCACAACTGCCTTCAGGAAATCTGCACCCTACACTTTGCTAGATCTTTTGGACAGTTTTTTCAAAACTGGTGCTGTCCGACTTTGCCGCTGACTGCAAGAAGCAGGCCACTGATTCAGTGGTTTGGCTCGTTGTCATGGAAACATCCATCACTTCAATAAAAGAAAATCTCTTCTGCTGTGCATGGGCTTGGGTACAGTCTATCCCTATTAAAAGCAAAAGATTTTGATTTCAGGCCAATCATCTCGTTGTGAGAATTGCTGAATGCGGTATTTACTCTCAGCACTTTATCCAAAAATCATCTCATTTTCACCCCGGGCAGGCTATCAACTATGACAGAAGGGCTCTGTTTATTTTTTCATTTACCTTCATGTTTCACATTCATCTCATGACACTGAACGCAACCTTTGGAAAACAACACTAGGATCGTCTGCATCCAGTTAACAAAATGCACATAATTCATTAAAACTGTATTTTCCATGGCATTACAAAATTCTGCATATGGGAGGCAAGCTTAGTCTTTCTGTGAGTTGAGGAATAGTGGTTGGAATTTCGTATTCCCGTTGGCACTCCTCATTCATGGACAGAACAAGAGGGCTCTCATTGAAAACATGCACTTGTTTGTGCACTGAGAATGAGGTAGCATGTCATATAAATAACACCATTGTACCTTTTGCTGGCAATTATGTGAAGATCTCCCATTCATGTTTCTTACAGCAACAGAAAACCAAGCTACGCCACTCAGGCTATGGCAGATGTGGTAATTATCTATGACAATAACATTTGGTCTTTTTGTCCATCTGGATGGTTTCAGAGCCTCACCTGTTGGCAGGTTTACTTGGAGGGTGATACCTGATGTACATGGAGATACACAGGACGCATGGTGTATTGGCCCATGGGCATACCAACAGTTGGTGGTGGGGTATGGTGGAAGAAGAGAGAAACAAAAAAATCCATGGAAGGAAATGCAGCTGAACAACAAAGTTGCCGTGGCTGGAGAGATGGTTTCCATGAAGAATGGGATTGATGGGAGAGCTGTTTGAGACGATGAAACTGGGGACAATTATTTGATACGTAGTATTATTTGAAAGCTCTTCTTAGTACTAAAAATGAAGACTCAATAGGTTTGATTGAAAAAGTTTTGGAAAATGGTCAATTATATTCAGCGTAGTCAAAGAAGATGACAGCACTCCATAGCTTCCAGAGATTCTACAGAGTTGAACTGGAAAGGGGCATGCCACAGCATAGCAATAAAATTGAGAAAAGGAGCAGTATTGATGTTGCTGTGAAACTTGAATCCATATTAGGGCATTTTTTGTTGACCAAAGTTAGTAGTTAAGAATCTGTTTTCTTTGATAGTGGGAGCTGAAATTATATCAGGTGGATTGCAAAAATAAAGCTTCTATTCTTGAATAATATTGAGTCCATCAGA